ATGGTATAGTAGCCCGCGGTACCTCTTGCGTCGTTCCAGATCCATCGCTCAAGCTGGATGATGAGGAAGATGAAGAGGAAGTGGGTGGTGATGATGGAGCTGCCTTGTTGAGTGCTTCCAGCACAAAAGGCGGATACTCATCACAAATGTGAATGTAGTCAACCTTCCTTGCCTTGCGCGCATATTTCTCCGGCGACCTGGCTTTCGCCGAGAGACATTTTTGCGGTTGGGACAACATGTGGGGCTGGTACCGAGACGGACCCTGGAAAGGTTCCGATATCTCCATTGTCATCTGTGGATTCGGCTGCTGAGGTATTGTTGTTTGCGTAGCGTATGTTGGTACTTGAGGAGTACCCTGTGCTTGCCAATGCATTGATGTCTGGTGCCGCATCACTGATTGTATATTTTGAGTTTGGTCTTGCCACAGCAAAGGATAATATCTTGGGGTATACGGTTGCTGCTGAACTTGCACAGGAGCGCAAAGCTGAACCGTTGGCCTCGTATCCACACTCCCATCCCCTGTCTGTTCGTATTCAAAATTCCCGCTTTCGTGATCTCTTTTTGTTCTTAGGGGATCGAGATTTCTTCCCCGCTCGCTTTTCCTGGATCTAGACCGATGATTCTCAACATACACGACTAGTGGGTCCTTAGGCGGCTGAGGTGACAAAGCGTGGAGCTACTGCCCAATATTGAGACAACAACGGTAAATGTAACGGCTGAGACACCACAAGGCAATGAACATGAGGGCTAAGCCAAATAAACCAGCAAAAATGATGGCAATAATGAGATTGGTATTCGTCATGGCAGTCTAGTCGGTAGAACGAATTACAAGGTCAAGATAGGAGATTTTGACAAACGATTAGATACCATACGTATAGGCAAGGGAAAAAAGAGTTGTCATTTAACGAACCGGTATTCACAGCTCCTTCGTCGTACAGTTACACTCGAACTGTCAAAACCCCGCAGTATACAGCAAAGAACCCATCTGTTGTGTAACTTCTCTCTTGTCAGTCTTTTCCCGTCAGCCCCCAAATCACCAGCCACACACTCAAACCCACGAAAATCCATCCAACCCGGCCTTACACACAGCTACGCGCTCGGTAAATCCCCATGACCCAATGTTGTAACACATACACATGCCCGAGAAACAAACATGTTGTAACTCCCACACACGCCAACATACTTGCCATCCCCCCCACATTCCACAACGTCTTGTACGCTGCACAGTCCCAAACTCTCGACTGCCAATCCCCTCTCTCCTTTCTACTTTGCCCCACTTCTACCCGCCTTGCTCGCTTTATTCGCTTTGCTGCTCGCCTTGCTGCCCGCTTTGCTATTCACTTTACTGCTCGCCCCACTCGCACTCTTCACAGTCGAGCACCCCTCCCGTTGACACTCCAATTCGTGCATCTCGGCGTCGATGACGCGCCGGCAACTTCGCATCAGGCACCACCCGAAGAAGCAACAGAAGAGGGTTACCAGAATTATTGCTAGGATTATCGTGTGTGCGTAGTTCATGCTTGGCGTTGGCTTGAGGTGAAAGATTTGGGGAGGTTGAAGTCGAGCGGTGGGACTCGAGTACGGGGTTTGTTGGGGGGATAGGATGGATTTTGGTTGTGATGGTGTTGTAGTTTGAAAGTGTCTGTTGGAGGAGGGTTTAGGATGTTGATGGGTAGAGGGTCAGTGTTGATGTTTACTGTGGTATCTGTTTGTAGAGCTTCGAGTGCGGGTTACGTTCACTTTCACTCTCACCTTCACTGGCAGGCTATGACCTAGCATTGGGCTTGTAGTAGTTCCCTCTCTTTCTTCTTTCGGATCGATATCAATTCAATCTCCTTCATCTACAATAGCACGTCTCACGAATTCCATACAAGCCGACTACAACATCCAAATAACTGTCATTTCATACTACTGTTACATTTTACCTTATTTATTCTTACAAAGCTACTCCCTACCATCTTCACTCGCTTCAAAACTCCCTCAACGCATCAAGCACCTCCTTCTGCCTCTGCGCCGCCATCTTCTCAAACCCATCCACACTCATAACAAACGTGCCCCTCCCCCCCGTCAGCGCCCGCAGATGATTCAAATACCCCACCATCTCCTTCAACGGCACCCTCGCTACAATCTGGCGCTGATGATCCGCAACACCACTCCCTACCTCGCCCATACCCGAGCTAAAGGGGTCAGGAGGCGTGTAAATAAGGGCAGGATCGATACGCGGAAGGTCGTCGCCGTCAACACCTGGTGTTTGCGAGGATTCGGTGCCATCAAGCGAGAGCACCTGACCGCCGCGGGAGGAGGATATGTCTTGCACGACGGCCCCGAGCGAAGTTTCGTTTACGAAAATGGTAACGTTCATAACGGGTTCGAGGATGGCGGCGGGTGCGGTACTACAAGCTGTGCGTAGACTGGCTCCTACGGCAGCGCGGGCAGCCATGGAGAGCGCGGTGGTGGTTGTCTCGGGGAAGAGATGGGTGGCTGCGTCTAGGGCGATTGTGACGCGCGTGTTGGCGACGGGGAAGCCGTTGAAGGGGCCGCGGGCGAGGGCTGCGGACGCGCCGGCTTGGAGAGAGTGCAGGATACCCGGGAGGGAGAGGTGTGGTGGGATGTGGGATTTGTGGCTTGCGGAGTCGTGGGAGGAGAGGTGGGGGTGGGAGATGTAGAGGGTGTTGTTGTCCGGGAGTTTGTATGTTGTTTCGAAGGGGCTGTCTTGGACTTCTTGGGTATCTTGGGCTAAGGCGTTGCTGATGGTGGCTTCGTCGATGGATTCGACGGAGGCGGTGGTGATGGCTTTGGCTTGCTTGCCTGCAATTGGCTTGTCAAGAGTGTATGTCAATGGCTCGGTCGAAGTCGTGATTGTCTCTCTGTATCCAATCTCGATCTTACCGATTCTCGCCTTGGCCTTGAAGTCGTTCAAAAGTCGGTCTCGGGCGATTTCGAGATGTAAGTCACCCATTCCTGCTAGATGCGTTTGTCCTGACTCTTCATCGACTGAGAGGTGCAGACTAGGGTCTTCGCGTAGTAAGATGGCAAGGCTTTCTTGTACGTGCTTCTGCTCGCTCAAACTGTGAGGTTCGATGCTGGTAAAGAATACGGGCGGCGGAACGGCAATAGGTCGGAGTTGCAGTGTGTTCAACCCGCCAGATGGTGTGCCCTTCATCTGCAGCCCACGGTATACGATCAGCGTATCGCCAGTCCTAGCATGCTTGAGTCCGGTGATGACACCAATTTGGCCGGGACCGATGCTGTCTACTTCCACTGCATCATTGGCATACATCTTTAGAAGACGAGGTGCACGTTCCGTAATGGCTAGGTTGGTATTGTACAGCGTGGCGCCGCGATCAATTGAGCCAGAGTAGACGCGCACGTAGACCAGAACGCCTCTTTTGGGGTCATTGACAACCTTGAAAGCCAGAGCACAGGCTTGTAGATTTTTCACTTCGGCAATAGCGAGCTCGCCCGTTCGCTTTTCTTGCTTCTTTGCCGGCTTGGATGACTTGGTGGGTGCTGTAGATGCTGAGCTCAGAAGAGCGGCAAGGGTGCTACTCTGGTTTGCAATGGCTATCTCAGGGTCGGGGCGTTCGAGAGGTGATGGGAGAAGATCGACTACACTGTCAAGCAGTGGTTGAACACCAATGTTGCGGAACGACGCCCCGGCAAACACCGGTATAACCGATTGGGGAGCTTGTAAAACGACTCGGCGAAGAGACTGCGTGATTTGAATACCCGAAATGGCGAGATGGTCTTCGTCATTTTCCAGGAAGTGTTCAACCATTACATCGTCGTGCTCGCTCAATATCTCGACAAGAGCTATCCTGGCCTTTTTAATCTCTGCGGCAAAGTTCTTATCAGTCTTGTCCAACTCTTCAAGCTCAACGGCCTTGATATCTCGTCCATATCCGCCTGCCTTCCAGAGCATACCACGAAGATTGATAATATCTCCAACTCCAACAAAGTCACCATTGCCTCCCTGCCACCAAGGAATCTGGCAAACTGCAGGCCATCCCCGCAGTCTGGAACCAATCTCTTTGACTGTTCTTGAAAAGGCAGCGCCTACGCGGTCCAATTTGTTGACAAAGATGATCCTGGGAATATGGTAGTGTCCGGCTTGCGTCCACACCTTTTCTGTTTGGGCTTCGACTCCTGCTACCCCGTCCAAGATACAGACTGCGCCATCCAAGACACGCAGCGAACGGAGTACCTCGAATGTAAAATCAGCGTGACCCGGGGTATCAATCAGATTAATGTTGTGGGGAGTAGAAGATCTCAAAACATCGTCAAAAGATACCGGCAACTGCGGTAGAGATGGCGATGTTTGATTACTTGGTGGTAGTGGAGGCCAGTGGAAAGTTATGGCTGCAGATTGAATAGTGATGCCTCGCGCTCGCTCAGCAGGAAGGAAGTCAGTTACTGTGGACCCTTCGTCGACATCTAAAAGTGGTCAGTGTGTTTGTTGAAGCCGATCTTTCTGTTTCGCAAGTGGTACAAGGGCATCGAGATATTTGGAAAACACTGCGCTAAAGACGTAAAATGAATTCGTGCATACTTCCTATTCTACGAGTGACACCACTGTAGTAGAGCATACGCTCAGTTGTAGTTGTTTTCCCCTAGATATTCATTAGAGCCTCTTCAGATTCACAAAAGAGCCATCCGACCTACCGCATCAATGTGGGCAATGATGCCGATATTACGGGTCGCTTTGGAAAGTAGGTCATGTTGAGGCGCCTGGGTCGACAGCAACCGCCGAGGAGTCTTCACATTGTGCCGAACGACTCGGCGGGCACACCATATCCAGCCGGTTATCATGCCAAAGACTGCGCAATGCGATGGTGATGCGAAAGATGTTGTGTGTAGGAAATGCACGTGACGCAAAAGATGACATGGTTCGCGCCTTTCCTAGCCGGGCTAAGGGCAAGGCTGGGTGTTGGAGCGACATCATCGCATCACTCTCCAGCTAGTCGCAGCCGTTGATAGCTTCAATTCACTCCCCCACAACTATGGATTACAGCGCTCACGATCCCGACCACCCCGCGGGCGGCGACCCTTGGGCTTCGTCGCCTCAGGCGAACCGATCATCTTTTGGCCAGCCTCCAACTAACGATATTCCGTCATCCCCGCTGCCTGCGCAGGCTTCCCCATATGGCGAGAACAGTGAGCAGTACGGCTATCTGGGCGAGCAGGATGCGCAAAGTCGGCCGGGCACGGCGCCTGAGAATGGCGATCAATCGCAGCAACAGCAGGCGCACGGTCAGGACGCGCCTCGGTCACCTCAGCCGCAGCAACAGGGCCAACAGGGACAGCAGCCACAAAGGTATCACGGCACGAGACCACAGCGACAACAGCAGCAACAGTACAAGCTGCAGGCCAAGGTTACAGGTCTTGAGCGCAACGGAAAGAAGGACCCCATAATACGATTCGATGTTTACGTACGTCTATACAAGTTCAACATGGCAAAAGCATGCCTCCGCAATGTGCTGGACATTGAGCATTGGGTCAAGGTGGCGTTGATGCTCTCAGCGCATTACTGTCTGGCTTCAAAGCTACCTCCATATCTGTCCACTCCACTTGCGGATGGCATCCATAACAGTGGCCTCGTGCTAACTTCTACATTCAGACGAACCTTCCCAAGTTTCGCACCACGCAATTCCGCGATGTCCGACGTCTACACTCTGAATTCGTGAAACTCGGCGAGCATCTCATTTCCGCATGCCCGGAAGCCATTGTACCTGCAGTACCACCGGCGACTACATCGGCAGGCGCTGGAACTGATGAAGACGAGGCACGACTCAAGATATCAATTCAGCGGTGGCTCAATATTGTGTGCAGCAATGAAATACTCATACGTGACGAGGAAATGGTCTTCTTCGTAGAGAGCGACTTTGGCTATAGCCCCGTGGTGCGGAGGAAGCAACCTGCTACTGGAGTGCGCCGCAAGATGATCAAGCAGTTTGCGCCGCCGCCGGACGACACGCCAGAACTCGCTGCGGCACGACCAGTGGTTAAAGCCTTCTACCTCGGTACAATGGAAGCCGAGCAGAAGTTGGAGAAGGTTGTGAAGCACCGAAGGAGTGAGTGGTCAGCATATGTCATACAGAACACAAGACTAATTTGCTTTAGACCTCGGGGTTGCTGAATCTGACCTGGGCGCCAAGTTTGCAGCACTACAGGTCCAAGAGACGCACGTTGGTCTGGCCCACGCGTACAAGAAACTCGGGAAGATTATACAGGCTACGGGTGACTTTCATGCCGCTCAGGGCACCGCTGAAGCTACCACCCTGGGTGATCCACTCCAGTACCACAGCAGCGATGCTTTTATCGCAAAGGAAACTCTGACAAATCGTCACATCATCCTTCGCGAACTGCTCCAAGCACAATCAGCGACCAAGTCCAAGTTGTCAGCGGCCGACCGGCTGAAGGCCAGCTCAAGCGTGAAACGGGAAAAGGTTGACGAAGCTATTGCTGCTTTAGACGAGGCTAGAAGCCATGAGCAATATTTGATGCAAAAGGCCCAACGTGTCACTGCCAATCTTCTTCAAGAACAGCGGAGGTGGTTTGATCGGACTACGCACGACATGCGGCAAGCGATTCGGGAATACGTAGTGCGCCAGATTGAAGCCGAACGCCGTACTCTAGCTACTCTGGAATCCGTACGACCGGACATTCGGGCCATTGATGGCAGCGGCGGTCTTTCGCGGCTTGGACGTGAAGCGCATCCACCACAGCGCCGGGTTCCCATGGCAAGCTCTCAAGGACCCAAGGGCGATGCATGGTCTGGTGTGCCGCGACGACCCGGTGATGGGCTCAATCGCAGTATGAGCGGTAGTTTTGTCGCTCCACTTCCTGAGACCGACGAAAACGACGAAGAGACAATACACGGCAGAAAGCGGGCTACGAGCAAGGCGGGAAGCCAGGCAGGAGTGGAAGAGGACGACGATCGGATTGATGCGAAGAACGCGGCCAGTAGGCTAGCCACGACGACGTTCTAGAGGTTGTTTTGGTTTGTGGGGAGAGTTGAAAGAAGCCACGGGATGGTATGGTCAGTTGTGTGCCATGGACTCGACTGCACAATACCACGCGGCATAATGTACACTGCAGCCTATAGGAGAGTTTTCTGAGCCATTTTACCCTTGCTGTGCAGCGTGTAGTTTTCTTGCTCTAGGATGGTGCTGGTGATCTCTGTGCAGGTACATAACGGCCGAGCGAGTGCCAAGACCGGGGCTACTTACAGCAGTCGACTTTTGCTCCACGATGGTTTCCCGGGCTTCATGTTTGGTCCCCTCTCGACTTTAGCCAGCCGCCTCATGGCACTCTCCGGGCATGCAGCAAGACAACAGCATCACGCCAGTTCTAGACCGCGAGCCACTGATTGTTGAGTCTCTCAGCCCTGATTCTGCCTGCATTGGCTTTTGACATGGGTCACGGCAGTGGGCCAACCCTGGTGCAAATCGCGAATGCGCGGCTGCTGTGCGTCACTTGATCAGAGAGGCCTTCGTGCCAGCCCCGCGCGCAATCTATCCAGCGTGGCGACGATATTGCAAAGTGTGGGGTCAAATACGGCACATACTCTACTCTACACCAAGGCACCAGAGCGAATAGCAGCAGCCTTGGGACACTAACCGTAAACCAAAGGCCCTGCCCCTGGCCTCCGTGCCGCCTGACCGGCGGGTGCGCATGCGCGCCAGGGAGGGAGCCGTTCGAGAACCATGGCACGACACCGACCGGCTTCTGTCAACCTTGTACCGACGATCAGTTACCGGAGTCGCACAGCTTGCCAGGAGATTTGGTGTACATGCATCAACTCGTATCAAGTACCGCCGTCCAGGTCCTGACTGATGAGATGTCGGCGGTGGAATTGGGATTGGCATACCGAGAGCCGATCCCCCGCAATGTACTACCATATCGCGTTGGGGAAGACGACTCACAGTTGGAAGCGAGACCGGGGTGCAGCATTGCACTCTACCACTCCGGGCGGATAGTTGTAGCCGCCAAGTTGCCATGCACCAAATCGAAGGTGCTCAATCTGCTGTGCCACTCGGACGCAGGAGCATGGAACCCTGCTTATAGCGTCGGCAGACTTGTGCGAGCTGCGATAACATGTTGGTCGTGCCCAAATCTCCGTGATCCAAACCTAAACCTAAAGGCCGAGTTGCTGTTTTCGAACCTGAAGGAACCTCCGGTAGAGTCCTATTTGGCGACGACTCGGTCCACGCCTCAGAATGGCGCCGTTCCGCCAATACTCCAGCGGCTTGGACGGAAACCAGAGTGAAGCTCATCTCACCGTAAGCGAGATGTCAACCGGCCGGCAACTTTGTGCGGTCCTGCGTCCCGGGTAAAGTGCATGTGCAGTGTGAAGATGATCATGCACCAGCTGCTTCTGATGGGGCGGCTCCCCGAATCAGAACAGTGGAGAGCATCAAATAATGGAATGCTTTTCCTCGATTGGCGACCGGCTAACCACCATCCCTACTGTTGGATGCAGCCTATCGACGCCACCGTCCACATGTCCGAGGGCCACCGTTTACGTGGTCGAGTCAGGGTCGAAGGATCATCGTCGCAGCCACTGGCAGCCCTCCAAGAGCCTGAACAAGGTCACGGCGAATGTACATAACGTTGCGGAGCCCATGTCCCTTGCAAACACTTTTGGCCCTCTCCTCACTTTCCCTTTGGCTTGCTAAGCCCGTATTGCAAGCACGCCCCTCACCTCGTTGGTGATATTTAGCCCTTGCACCCAGCGTCGAACATTGATATCGACATTGACGTTTCGATATTCTAATTCCACTGAGCACATCCCACCTGACGTCGACCGAAGTGTTGGGGTTCGACCAAACATGCCAAGAGTCTTCAAGTTTCTCAAGACTGCGCTTGCACCTAGCATTGGAAGTTCCGCGCCGCAGGAGGTAGTTGACAAGAACAATTCGTCGCCCAAGGCATCATTCACTTCCTCGGCAGACGACACATGGCTTCCAGACTTCGATCCGCTCACAGTCACGGCCTTTGAACTGTCCGAACTCCTGAATGCGCGAGCAATTACAAGCGTGCAAATAGTACAACTGTACCTGAAAGAGATTGCGTTACACAACAGAAGAGGCAGACAATTAAGAGCATTAATTTCGGTTGCTCCAAAACATGAACTATTGAAGATAGCACGCAAGCTGGACGATGAACGAGCAAGAGGCAAGATAAGAGGCCCACTTCATGGCATTCCAATAGTAATCAAGGATAATATCATGACGGATGAGACGCTGGGAATGGACACGACAGTCGGTATGTGCGAATAACTAACCTGGATGCCATCAGTGAAACTTATGTTCTTGTTAGGCTCCTATGCTTTTGTAGGCTGCATACCTAAGAAGAGCGCAACCGTTGTCGACCGCTTGATCAAGCGAGGAATGATCATCATTGGAAAATCGAACCTTACGGAATTCTGTGGTCTCAAGAATCCTTCAATGCCTCCAGGATGGTCAGCAGTGGGCGGACAGTGTCAATCACCATATGTTTCAAGACACATTGCAAAACGAAAACTACATTGGGAACTGTCAGCTCCTGGAGGCTCCTCAACAGGATCAGCCGTAGCCGTGGCTTCAGGATTCAGCACTCTAGCGATTGGTACGGATACTATCGGATCACTCATTACGCCAGCAAACCGCGCAGCCCTCTACGCATTGAAGCCTACAGTTGGAGAGGTTCCGATGGATGGGATCTTCAACCTAAGCAAGACGTTTGATTCAGTTGGTGGCATGGTAAGCTGGATGTTTGTCAGCTCGTATTGGGCACACTAACTTTATGCAATAGGCCAAATCTGCAAAGGATCTCGTGGCGCTTATGGACGCCTTGATGGTGCCCACCAACAGAGAAGAGAATGTACCGAGTCCACACAGATCGTTCAAGATCAAGCCAGATTTTGGTACGCTTCGAATCGGCATCTGTGAGCCGTCAATCTGGAAGTCATGGCGCAAAAATGGGCGCATTAATGCTGACGCTGAGAGATTTATGGTAAGTTTACGAAAACATCGCTGACATCAGTCCATAAGTCACATGCTATATGTGCATTCATGTCTTTGCTGCAGGGATCAGTATATTGTTGGAACCTCTATGCTGACACGAGGCAGACCCAAAAGTACGATATGATTGTTCAGAGCATGATTGAGATGGGCGTCGATGTTGTGTACCCGATTGAATTGCCCAATCCAATGAGCTTGACCATTGATGGTAGGAACTGCTTCGAGCCGGTTGTCTGTATGTTGCTATGAACTTTGTACTAGCGCCAACATGCTAACGTGCTACAGATGCTGAATTCAAAGATTGCTTATCAGAGTTCATCCGGGACTTTAAGGTGACCAAGATGCATTCATTGGCCGAGATTATAAATTTTAATCTGGAGCATCCAGAACTGTGCCTCCCACCGAGTATGTCAATTTGAGTTGCTATAACTGATATCTCCTACTTATACGTTTTAGCATGTCCAGATCAGAATGATCTTATGGCCGCCTTACAATCCAGCATCAAGCGCGAAGAAATCAACGCCGCACGACAACACCTTCAGACCGCCGGCGGACCTGAGGGCCTCGACTTTCTCTTTGCTTCGCGCTCTCTCGATATCATCATGGCGCCCGGAGACGCCGCATTGTCCACACTTGCAGCTGCAGCAGGATACCCAACTGCCGCATGTCCACTGTCCGCTCTCAAACTCAATGGCCAACCATTTGGCATCACGCTCGCCTCACGTCCACATACCGAACACACGCTCCTCCACTTCCTAACCGCATACGAAAACATCTTCCCGCCCCGCGCCCTCCCCATGCCGCTTTCGTCGGTGCCGCTCCAGGACCCCAACCCAGAACCGCTCCCCGATCAGCCCATTGTCGATCTTATTCTGCACGAATGGGACACGCGGAGATTCAGTTGTAGTGCGGATGCGCTGGCGGATTGGCTCAATGCGCGCTGGCGCAAGAGCGGGTACGAACTTAGTGCCGAAACTGTGTGTGAGGTTCTGAGGAGTAATGGAAGGATAGCATTTAGAGGGCTAGGCGATGATGCTGAAGGTGCTTTTTCACGATAGTTGCTCTGTGAGCTTCTTTCTTTTCTACATGACTAACAGGATTTTCGTTTTTTGTCATCTCCACATCAGGATTTCCATGCATATTTGGCAGTTTTTGTATCATTTTTTGAAGGATATTAGCGTGGTGTTTTTAGCGCAATTATTATTCGATGTCATTCCCTGGTGGGAAGATGAGCTACCTGGTACCTGCGGTCGTAACTAAGGGAGGATTTCGTTATATGAAATAACGTTATAACCAATGTGGCGTGATATGCTTATCTAATTCATGAGGGGTTTCATATGACATTACTTCTTCCCACTATGTTATTGAGCTTATCCATGTGTAAATGAGCATCAAGCTACCTCCTAGTTATGAATCGGGCAATACCCAAAACCAACCCTCTCTCTCTATCAACTGTTTACTCTACAGACGAAAACGGGATTTGGCTTGCACTTACCAGCAATTTTGGAGATGTTGGGATAGTGTTTACTGCAAAGATGATAGATTGTACCCGCGGCTGCAGACTCTGCCTCACTACGTCGATCGCGCTGTAAGTGGTTTCCTGATTTATTTTTTTAACAAAGAAATCGTATCTTCTAAATCGTAATCTGAAATTCAAAGCCGGTATGGGGTATGTAAGCGTCCTTGGTTTCTCGATGTCGCACCTAAATTCTGCACGCTATCATGCAAGGTTTACACAACGATTTTAGCGAACCAATATCTAATGCGAGTGTCAGGTTGCGAGGAATGATTTGTTTAGGATAGTCTCGAGGTGTATATTGGGTCTCAGCGAGGAAGATGCCAAAGGGGGTATGGACGGTGGCGTTTGAGTGTAGTGCGTTTAGGAGGGTTATATGGACAAATGCGTACGGTGGTAGTGGGATAAAGTCGAGGTTTGTTAGTCAGGGGTAGATACAGGGTTACGGCTCAGGAAGAGGAGATGTTGGTTCTTGTTATCCTGATAGAGGTGGAGTCGAGAGTTCTTCTTCGCAGGTTCTGTGGGTTGGGTTTTAAGAATGTTGGTGTTGACAGAGCTTCCTTTTGTATTTCATCCCATAGTTATATAACTTAGGTGAAGACACCCGCTTCGAGTAAAGAAATCAGCAAGAGAACTGGTATCTTACACCTACTGAATAGGCAGCTGCAAAGACCTCTTACTATTGTTGATATAATACAATTGCAAGATGACCTGTGAAAGGAATGTAAATGCTATCGAAGTATTACCTTATAACCTCCAGAGACGGCCTTTTATGCATAGTTAAGCATATCAAACATATGGTGCACAGCTAGCATAGCAGGTACAGGAAGGATTCCGTTTTTGAACAACATCTGCCTCCTCCTTCGTTCCCATATCGGCCTTGTAAGAGAATCTCGGGCCAGATACTCGCTGAAAGTTCTGCGACAGGTAAATATATTCGTCATCACATCGGGCTCCAGCTTCGGTAGGGAGATGCGGGGGCCCTGTGACTTCATGTAGTACATACATTTCTTAGCACATGCGGGGTTTCCTGCATGGAGAAATTTGCAGCAAGTTGAGGCGCAAAATGCAGTGAGTGAACTTAGAACGATAATTGTTAAAAGTAGAATGTAGCTCTGTTGCAGCACAGGTAAGCGTGGTGCGATAATGCTCGCTGCAGATGCTTGGAATAAGGTTTGATCCTGCAAGAGATGTAGATTTTGATCTAGGATAGTAGCGACTTTAATTGTGTCATCTGACGTTGCCTATTTCCTATAACTAGATTGTAGTACAATCATTACTCCAATGTATCCAACGCTAACTGCATTCAGCGTGGGGTATGACTCTAGACGTTGGTACCGCTGTCCCCACACTCGCTTAACATCATGACTTCATTACACGATCCTTGATTTTCAGTTCGAGGATTATTTAGATTATATATTTTGTAATTTCAAACTTTTCCATCTTGAAATCAAGTTCAGCAGAAAAAGCTGCTTGGCGCAGCGGAAGCGCGCCGGGCTCATAACCCGGAGGACCTCGGATCGAAACCGAGAGCAGCTATGCTTGACACATTCATTTTTGCTTTTCTCTTATTGCTCTGAGTTGAGAGTGGAGCGTTGGGACGAAATTTGGGTGGATGCTCGGCCTTTTGCTTTCATCTTGGACTTTTTTTTTATTCAAGTGTACGGTTCCTCGTGTATAATTAGTATGTATTATGTTAGTTTTATTGCTTCTGCTTTGATTGAGATAGTATATCTCCGGGTTATGCTAAATAAACAATTTGTTCAATCAAGTGGTCGAAACTGACAAGTGAAGTTAGCTGGCCATGTCATCGAAATAGAGATCAGATGGAAGCTGTCTGGTAGTATCACTGTGCTGAAAGAAATACGTAGGAGCCATGTAAGAATAAGATGGTCAATTCCAAGGCTTTGGAACATATAAGCAGATATGAAGTTCATAATTGCAATTTCTATGCAAACAACAATTTAGTCATACATTTACAAGCATTATTATCTACAGCTTTGACTTTTTCCCTCCGGCAACACCGGTAACAGGGGCACCGGAGAGTAGGAAATCGGGGTACTCGAAGCCGCCGCTGAAGCCAGCGGTATGCCAGGCGCCTCCATCGACAACGAGGGTCTCTCCGTTTACAAAGTTGCCTGCATCTGAGAACAAAAACACGGTGGCATCAGCAATTTCCTTGACGGTGCCCCATCGCCCGATAGGCACCGTCTTGGCCGCCTTGCTATCCGCCTTGTTGGCCTCTGCTTTGGCCAAGCGCGCCATTCCCTCTGTCCCCGCAATAGGGCCTGGGGCAATAACGTTGGATGTGATACCCTTGGGTCCTTGTTCGATAGCCACGGACATGGCCATGGCATCCACACCGGCTTTTGCAACGCCGACGTGCGCCTGCAGCGGCGTCGCTGTGTAATGCAGGGTCGCGCTCACGAAGATGATACGGCCGCCGGTACCATTGGCAGGCTGCGTAGTACCATTTGTACGGTGTTTAGCCGCGGACTCGACGAGATACGGTAGGGTGGCTTTGACGGTGTTGTAGCTGCCCAGCACATCAATATCGATGACGCTCTTCATGGCGTTTGCAGAGAGTTGGTCGATGGAGGCGAGGAAGTTGCCGGCGGCGCCTGCGATTACGAAGTCGATGCTGCCGAGTTCTTTAGCGCAGCGGTCGGCGGCTTGCTGGAGGAGTTCGGGCTTGCGCACGTCGATGGCGCCGATGCCGAGGACTTTTGCGCCGGGGCGCGCAGTTGCGATGTCGCGGGCCATGGCTTCGGTTTTCTCGACGTTGCGGCCGATGATGCAGGCGTTTGCGCCTAGGGCGACCATTGCGCGGACTTGGGCGCTGCAGATAGAACCGGCGCCGCCGGTGCAGAAGAGGACTTTGTTGTCTGATGGTGGGAAGGGTTAGCGGGATGGAGTTTCTGGGACGAGGTGGTGTGGTAGAGTATACCGAAGATGCCGTCTCTCCAGACATTGCTCATGTATGAATATCTCTCCGCAGGCATGGTGTGTGGTGTTTTTCCAAGCTGGTAGCTTGGTCTTGTTGTCGTTGGGGTATTTGTCCTGGAGACTCGAGGAGAACGTGTAGTGGATAAGGAAGAGCGCTATGAGCAGGAACTGTGTTTGAAGGAAGAGAAGAAGTTACACGTCTGGAGACATAAGTGGTTGAAAGTATATGGAAGCTCGCATCGAGTGAAGGTTACGGCCGCAGCGATCGGTGGCCGGTACAATGTATGTTGCGCTCACGGGGAGCCGAGGTACATACGATGTAAGCTAGTGCTAGTAATCCTCGAGGAAAGGCACTCTGGTGAGACATTGACCACGCGTGACATGTCCTTCTCAGCGTTGAAGTAGAATCAGCAAAACACGGTGTAAGTTAACACATTCATCGCGAAGTCTAAAAATGTGATTTCAAGCATCATTTTCTCATTGGCAGTAATGACGGGCGGGCTGCATTCGCATGTGCTCTTCTCCGCGTTTGGTGTGTGCGGGCACGAGAGAGAGCTTGGACCACCGGGAGAGGTTCCGCATCAGCTCCGCAATTTGCATGCCAGCACTCGGAGCGGGCTGAATCATCGTCATCGTCATCACCAGACGGATCACCACCACAACAGACAAGACTCGACTATTGTACCCATTGGAAATATTGTTGCCATCACAATGTCGGCCCAGACAGTGTCGATATGTAAATTCGTCGGCACAATCACCCTGGGAATCGCGACGGTATGTGTGCAACAGGCCCGCCACTATGGCTACGTGACGGATGCTTCGCTGCGGGAATGAGGTGCCAGGGCGTCATTCTTGTGGAGTTGATGCATCAGAATGTAGCAAAAAGAAAGAGACATTCAAGATCTGACAATCCTCAGGGCGTCTCCGCAACCCTCTCCACAACCGCATTCCCCGCACTGCTCGCCCTCCCCACTGCCACAAACGCGCGCACTTCACTTGCCTATCTGTCCAGGCAGTCTTCCTGGCTATCCTCATATCTCCGCCATGTCACCACATTCACCTTGTTCTCCGCCTATGTACTGTCGCCGCGACGCTTCCGCCACCCCTATCTGCTCTACACGTCCATCTTCGCCTTCATCTCTGGTCCGGGAGTCGACTACGCTGTGACTGCCATGGAAGGGTCAGATGAGAAGAGGCAGGTCATGGAGCTAGAGGCGCAGGGCGAGGAGGTCAATGGCGAAGAGGTCAGAGAGTTTGTTGAGAGGAGACAGAGGACCGAGTTGATCAAGACGGGATTAGCGGGAGTGGCATTCGCAATGCAGGTCGTTGGTCTATGGGGTGATGGTGCTTAGAGGGCCTACGGAAGATAAAGATGCCGTAAATAGGGGTACGGGAAGAGAATATGCGTGCGACCGAGTAGATACAAGGAGATGTTTTTAGGGTCTGCAACGAGTTGGGGCTATCGGGTGGCAACTGGTGTACTGTTTGTTCCGGACTCTCCTATCATTCCCTGCTTTTTGGAATCTTCATCCCGTATACGGACATTGCCGTGTCAATCTGCTTTGCTCTCAGGGTGCACACTGTTTAACATGCTTCAACCTCGCAGGCCATATCCACTTCCCGCCAAGTGATACTGTGAAACAGCGTGTGTCCTTGTTCGAATTGACACGGATTCTCGAAGAAATAAACACGCTGGATATTCGCGCAATAGAGGACTTTGTCGTGGCATCAAGTACTTGACTCGATCCAGTAACGTGACTTAGGGGGGATGCTGTTCCAGGACATGGTGCTCAGCCTGGCAGCCTTGCAGCCTGAGAACAGAAGTCACCATGGGCAACCGCAAGAGATAAACTGCCACCATATGGCGTGAGCGCAAATTGTCGCGTTCCAGACTTTATCCAACCATGTTCGCACTGTTTCATGTGAATTGAGGCTACAATTGTTTACGAGCAATCTGACGGGATTGTCGCAAAGCAAAATACACATGCAAAACAGTTTGCTCTGCGCATCCATCTGCTGCCGGCAATAAGAGCGTTGTTGCCGTCAGGGTTTAATAGATAGTACAGTATACCGGTGCCAGGATGGCATGGTTCGGCGGAGGATGCCAAGGCGACCCTCCGGCGGCCGGGATGGCAGGAATTGGACGGAAGCGGGAGAGGGCGGTAGCGTTCAATAGTATGAGGTGCCAGGGTTTGTGATGACGACCTGACAATAAATAGGCTACCAGTACCTTTTTCGTATCTCACTCGCATCGTGGAATTTGTCCATTTTCACCCCTTGTCAGGCCCATTCCCGTGCTGAGCTAAGACACGCAGGTACCGCGTGCGTGTAGGATGGGATGCCTAGGGGTGCTGACCTGTTCTCTGCCGTTAAGTCTAGCGTTCGCGCAGCTGCAAGCGTGATGCAAATATAACCGAGGAAGTAGAAGCGCAGTCGTCTCACCAGCGAGTCGATGACGGCAGTGGCTGTCGGGGCTCTGCTTCAACATGTACCGGGGACGACAATCCTCATCTCTTTGTGCAGAGTATCGCCTCTCGATCCATAATTAATCCAGACGCGTAGCGCTGACCAGGTCCCCTGCCGATCGCGCTATCGATACTGGAGAGTCTGCACTGGGCCTAGCGGTGCAAGAAGCATCGCTTAGACAGAGGCAGTGGACGCCTCATTGGCCCAAAGCGGACGGGGGCTTGCGTCATAATCCACCCACGACGTGATCTGCCCGAGCCTCTGCAAAGGCGAAGCGAATTGAGCGGGCGAGCGAGCGTGGTCAAGGAGATGATGGGTCCCAGGCCGCGTGTGTGCGCGTGCGGTGGCTGGCTCGCGGGGACTTGGCCGGACGACCCTTTAGTGCCAAGCCTACCGTCAGTCCCAGTTTGTTTAGGCGTTCAGGCTAACACTCAATCCAAGGGAGAAATGAGGCAAGATAACTGCCTATGGATGCCATACATAGCTGTAGTCCCGGAGCGCGTGGGCATGCTGAATTCATGCTGACGGCTGCTGATAAGCAAAACCGCCGGGTGTTATACATGCCCAAGACTGGCATGCTGCCATCCACGATGCCATGCTGCCATGCTACCACGCTGCCATGCTGCTATGGGCCGTGTTGGGCGGGCGCGTCGCCCTGTCATGTTGGAGGAGGGCAGGACATTGGCTGTGTGAGTGGTGGAGAAAGCGACGGGGCTTGACGCCGTTGCTTGAGAGTGTCAACGGCCCGGCGCCTTCTTGTCAGTTGAGCGCCTCAACAGGTTGCAAAGAGTCGCGCACGAGAGGTGTGCTGGCTAAGGAGGCGCGGTAGGCAAAGGTCTTGTCTGTCAAGCTTGTCGGTCGAGGACAGGTGGTGCAAGAGGCGCGGGTGCAACGATACGCCCGTTGGTTGGGCTTTGGAGGCATCGATCGTGACCCCTGGCGCAGGCCCCTTGCGATTGCTGCAGGCTGCATGCAACGGCCTGGTTCATGTAAGAAGGTCAGTAAAGTAATCGTCGTAGATGGTGCCAACTCCTGCTTCTGATATTTGCTGCGAGGACTGGCTCGCCGTCCAACGCCACCACACCGTGCTAATTCTGCGCCGTGCCAGGTGATCAGCACACATCGCACACAGTCAAAACACGCTGCCAGTCCTGCGCCGTGCGGCACCCAACCATTCCATCTATTCCCTTGTCTCTTCACACCTTCGTTGTCGTGCTTGACTCTTACTCTCGTTTGTCTGTCCACGCAGACCCCAAGCCCTTCGTTTATACATAGCCATCAATGCGGCGCCGCCCTGACGGTTACTTTTGATCCTTCTGTTTGACATAGTGCTTTCATCTCCGGAAAACACGCCGCCGCGGTGCCACTCAGCACAGCAGCACCACCGCAGCAAAAGCAAGAAAGCTCCTGCCCGTCCCGAACTCGTCTCCGGTCTGTGTATCCCCCATCCAAGGGCACTCGCATCTGTCGTGAATTCGGGCGCGGCGACGAGCCTGTTATACGAGCTATAGGGCACCATTTAACCGCAAGCACCCAACCCAACACATCCACCACCCCCCGGCCCGTCATCCAAGTACGGAGTCGGACATTGTTGGCGGAAAACAAGGAACGCGGTAGGTCGAGTCAGGCAGCGTGCCCAGTGCGGAAGAGGCGGAGGAACTAAAGGCCAAAGCGGGAGGGATCAGGACGTGGATAGTGCTCGAAGCAGCAGCACAGACCTTAGTATCGATTTAGCGCTCGTAAGTACGCCGCTCCACCAGCCTCCATCCCCAACAGAGCCTTTTCCTGGCCTACAACCCGCTGTGCTACTACACCTCACACCCGCTCGACAACCCACCAAGGCCAGCAATGCTAACCACAGTCTGAAACAACAGGACCTTCCCCCCTCTCTTGCGCGCCCTGTCACCTTCTTGCACCCGCTTACTGCACTTTGTACCCGCACTCTCGAGAGCGCGTCGGCCAAGTCCCAGCCAGCATTCAGCGACCGGCCGGCTGACGGACCAAAGGCTGTACCACCTCACACCACGGCCACCCTCTCACCCCGCCTGCAAAACATTTCTACCGCTCGCTTCATCTACTCCATCTTCACTGTCTCCCTCGCTCGCCTTGCAGAGCCCTCCCGAACACGGGGGCGTCCAATCGCTTTTCCCTTTCAGCGCCCTCTTTGTTGCGCTCAAAGACGCCACCGCATCTACCCTCATTCACGTCGCCGAGTAACACCCGGAATCTTGCGCAAACTTCGTGTCCCGACATATTCCTCCGTCCACGACTCTAGACTTCATAATGGACAACCGATTCACGTCAACGCTCTTTGGCTTCGCTGCCTTCTCCACCCTCCTGCTCTCCATACAGCCTGCCGGCGCTTCAGACTGGACGTATTCATACTGCTCTTCACTAAACACTGGAGAGCAAAATACTGCTTGTAAGTTCTCCTGGTCGTGATGCGCGCCATGCAGCCTCTAACCTCTCAGATACCTGGCCATACCAGTCCAATGGTAACTGTACCAACCATTGCAAGGAGGAAGGAGGTTCATGGGCATTTGCTGTTATAAAATACACCGACTGCTGGTGTTCCAACTATGTACCAGGAGATACAGCAAGCTCCAGCGACTGTCTAGAGGACTGCCCTGGCTTCCCCGACGAAAAATGTGGTAGCAAGGACAAAGACCTTTATATCTATGTTCAAATGGACGGCCAGCCATCTGGTACCAAGGGAGGCTCGCAGCCCTCCTCTACCGCGGCGGCACCTTCTAAGCAATCGCAACAACCGCAATCGCAACCACAATCACAACAACCAACTGTTAGTACTTTTTTTCTTTATCTCGTCAGCCCTGCCCCCTTTCCTTTCATTAGTCAATCTACCTCAAGGTCTCCCTTGGCTGTACGTACACAATTACAAGCTATCGGTGTTTGACCTTCTGGTAGTATGCTCCACCTCCTGCACAAGTGGTAACGAGCATTGTGACGCAGAAACCAGAGACTGTCTTCTCGACGGTCACTGCAGAGCCGGACTCTACTTCGTCGTCGTCTTCGTCCTCCACTGATGTACTTCGCTTCCAACCTGGTCTGTTACTCCAAACTAACATCTGCTACAGACCAAGAAACCATCGTCTACCCAAGCTCCTTCCCGAACTCAGGAGCCCGTCACAGTGCCGACTCTAGTTACCGAAAGTGGAAATGTCATCACCCGCACTGTCGTCATAACACCATCGGCCACTGCCCCTGCAAACAATGACTCGAAAGATTCACCCAACGTAGGTGCCATTGCTGGTGGCGTAGCTGGTGGTATCATTGGTCTGCTCGCAATCATTGGTATCGTTTTCTTTGTCTTGTGGAAGAGGAGGAGGCAACAGCGCGAGGAGCAAGAAGGCGGTGGCGGCATCCAACGCAACGTCAGCACTATGAGCAGAGCTGGTTTGCTCGGAGGACGTGCTGAAAAATCGCCTACACCTCTCACCACGACTTTTGGTTCACAGCGCAGCCGATCTAACGAAGAGTCGATAACACCCATCACTCCATCAACCCGCAGATTAAGTCAACCAATTTTAGTCGACTCTCGCCTCAACCCGACTGCTGTTCTCACCTTTCACGGTGCCAACACAAGTCGAGAAAGCTTAGGCAGCATCGACGACAGCCGGGATTACGGTCGTCAGCTGAACGTACGGAATCCTGACCCGTAGAGAGTACGAGACTTTAAAACCACAATTTCATGCAAAATCCGGGTCGGCACTTGACCAAAAATGCAAAGCGCCCCCAGAACAACACCAAAAATTCGAAGCTAGCCCCAGCAATCATCAGACCAAGGTTGGGGCACGACTCACGAACACACAAGCATGCTCTTTTCGCACTAGCCAGGCGTAATGTTTAAGCAGCGATACACTGACGTCAACCCTATTTCATTATCGTCTTTAGTCTTGTGACAGTTCATTGTCAGGACCTCGTCCGTCTGTTTTCTTTATACATCCTTAAGGCACTGGAGCCTATGTACTATATCCTTCCTTTGGCTGCAATTTCGTTGGACAACAATGTACATATTTATATCAGGTGGGAGAGATGACATAAAAGCGCCTTGCTGAAATAGCACGTGGGACACAGGCCGTAACACAATGGCAGATAGCAAAGTAAAGAAAGAGAAAGAGAAAGATAAATTGTTCCTAATTAGGTGAGAAATGGGACTGTTGCGTGAGTACAGATACCACGCAATTGCATCACCAGTCTGTAACTGAATGTACACATCACCGTTCAATATTTCATTGCAGATACACATGTCCTATCCATTAATAGATCATCACTATGCTTTCCATACGATTTTGACAAGATCCGTTTTTCTTGAGTGATGGTTGCCAAGACGCTAACAACTCGTTGCCTGTCCTGAGGGTAGTAGTCGTTAGTTAAGCCTTTGTTCCTCGCATAGTCTCTGTACCATACATCATGGAAGCTCTTCCAAACGAAATGTTACTGGAAATCATCAAGCACCTGTTTCTCGAAGCATTCAGCACAGCCTTAAATATTGGTCTCGTGAACTGACGCTTGCACCACCTTACCAACGAGCTCCTGTACAGCACATACTCTTTAAATCGCGGAAACCCAGCGCTGTTGATACGTACCCTTGCGTCCTGGCCTGCCCATGCACGGCGCATCAAGAGTCTGGAATGGGATTGTAGGCCTGCGCACAACAATTCTCTGGTCACTAGCGATGCTTTTCCATTCCCTGGTGATTTGGCACCAATGGAACGTTGCAATATTGCAAAAGCTTTGTGCTCAAAAAACCCCTATGAGACGGACGACCTGAATTCTGTATTGATGGGTGCCGGGACAGACGCATATCTAAATTTATTTCTGTCATTCGCGCCGGATGTATGCAACATCCGAATTGTGATACCTTCCAAATGGAGTTACTACAGGATTTGGTTCACGCCGGCGTTAGATCTTCGAATTCTATCCAATCTCAACAAAGCATATATTGCTGGTCCGATGCGCATTCGGAATGTCGTCCCCCTGTTCCTGCTACCTTCACTGCGCAGTTTGACTTTGGACCATGTAGCACACGATAGGAACCGCGTACTACCCGGCACCTTCAAATGGTACCAGTATGATGCAGCCATTCAAAGGCTACGGAAAGAAAGGTCATGGGTTGAGAGCTTTCATCTACAAAAATGCAGCACCGACACAGTAGAAATAGCTCAGTTGATGTCATTGTTTGGTCATCTTAAAACATTCGAGTTTGAATTCACAGGCCATGACAAAGATGAAGCCAATACGACCATCACGCATTTTGTGCATTCCATCGCAAATCAGTCAAATTCACTCACATCGCTGTTTCTCAAAGACTTTCGCCTAGCACTGGATCCAACCGCACTGAAAGGACTAGGCAAGCTTGAGCACATGGATTTCCTTCTTCTTGATATGACGATGATGTGCGGCTCTTATCTACAGAACACCACAGTCGAATCGCTATCGAGTGTTTTGCAGCACCTGCCCAAGCGTCTTCAACATCTTCACCTCATAGCCAACGACCCTGATGGGGACGAGCTGAAACCTTCGACTGCATTCACTGAAGCATTACATGCAATCGCACCCATAATGAAGTCTATATTACCTGCCTTACACACAATAAAAATCGTCGACTGGGACCCATTACTAGGTACTTTCACCTGCCAAACGCAGGTCAAGGCTATTCAGCTAGCATTTGCAGAGATTGGAGTTGATTTTTTGTGGCAGCCACTCGATATTGTCATCAAAGAGAGTAACGAAGATGATATAATTAACTGGGAAGGAAAAGAAGAGGGTTGGGTATGGATTCAGTGGGTGAATAGCGATGAGTTATGGAACGAGGGTCGTAATGACGTTTAGACGCACCAAACCTTTTCATCTGCAATAATGCGACAGAAAATCTGACTTCAATTCTTTGACATCTGTGATACCACATATTATCAAGTTTGAAAAGTATAGACGCCCAAAGAGCAGGGGGGGGTGAGAATTCTCCGGTGCCTGCGACCCCTGTTGGCTCGTTCCTTGTAGACATTGAGGCTCAACTGCACACGCGCCACGCGTTCCCACTTTGGCCCACCTGTGCCCTGAATCTCGACCGCAACGCGACCCACGACCACGACACTCACTCTCACTCAACACCACAATCAATTTTGACAATATATCTTCTTGTACGATCGCATAAATTTCTAGTTGCCCACCATGAGCAAAATGTGGGAGGTGGATCCGGAGACACGGAGCAAGGTAGGCCGATCACTCTACCAGTCTGTGGAGGTGGGGGGTGCTAGGGGTCAAATGCGGAGATGGAAGCATAGCACAGTTAAATAATGGGGCCTGCGAAGATTCAAAAGCTAATCCGCTCTACTTGCAGTTGCTAGAGATCCAAAAGACGAACGATAACAACAAGTGTGTCGACTGCAATGCGCCCAGTCCACAATGGGTACGCAACCACCCGCCCGCTTTCTGACCAGGCACGCGAGCAGCGACTAGACTTACTGATACCTCTTGTTTTAGGCCTCGCCCAAACTCGGTATCTTCATGTGTCTCTCCTGCTCCGGCGTCCATCGCGGTCTAGGTGTCCACATCTCCTTCATCCGCAGCATAACCATGGACGCTTTCAAAGGCTCAGAACTGGTGCGCATGGCTGCTGGCGGCAACAAACCCTTCCAAGACTTCTTCAATAGCCACGAATCGAACACGAAAGAAGGACGCACATTCGAGTCGTCAACCATACAAGAGCGGTACGATTCAGAGGCGGGCGACGAGTGGAAGGAGAGGCTTAGTTGCAAGGTCGAGAACAGGGAGTTTGACAAGAGCAACCTGCCTAAGCGGTTACCGAAAAAGGAGAACACTTCTACGGCGGGTGCGGGTGCGCCGTTGAGTGGACGAGCCAGCGCAGCAGGGAGCAGAAGTCAGACACCTTTGGGCAAGGCACGAGGTAGTGATGCAGGCTTTCAACGCTCGGGATCACCCGCCCTGGGTACAAACGCCATGTCGCAAAAATCCAAGAATGAAGCCTATTTTGCGAAGATGGGCCAAGAGAATGCCAACAGGCCAGAAGGCGTTGCGCCCAATCAGGGAGGAAAATACGGTGGCTTCGGCAGCGAGCCAGATTCGTGGAAGAAGGACGACGAACCTGGCGCGCCGCCTGCGCTTGACGACTTCCAGAAGGACCCAGTTGCTGCACTTACCAAAGGGTTTGGGTGGCTGGGCGCCAGCGTAAGCAAAGTAGGCAAAACAGGCTACGAAGGCTGGGTGAAGCCCGGAATGGCAAAGGTATGTTTTGCGCTGCTGTATTCAATATATCCCTGCGACTAACTATTCTCTAGCTTGCCGAAGCTGACCTCGCAGCTCAAGCCCGTAGCACCGCGGGCACCCTAGGCCAGACCCTCCAATCTGGTGTCGCAACTGCTAATACGCAATTTACGCGCTTTGTTGAAGGAGACGATTCTTCGTCTACCGCACGCCGTGGCGCTCCCGAACCCGAACGCAAAGACTTTTGGGAAAGCTTTGGTGCGGCGCCCAAGGGACCGGCAAAGGACAAGCAGGACTTTTGGGACGAGTTTGCTAGCGCCGGTGAGGCAAGGACTAGCACGACTATGGAAAGAAAGAAGCCCAGTGGTATTGGAACAAGTGCTATGAAGAAGAGCGGTGGCAGTGGTAGCATGAGTGGATCAGCAAAGAAGGACGACGAGTGGGACAAGTGGTAGAAGCACGAATTCGCATGTTGATATGAGTTCATGGTGGGAGTTGGTTGAGGTTGTATAAAGGCGTTTGGGTTTCAGAATACGCATGTGTTAGGGAGAGGAGAACTGCTGAGTTAACTCATTGCGCTGGGACTCAAAAGCGAGTAGATGGCAAGTATATCGTTGTTTCCATTGCATCACCTGTCCTCCCGTGGTTATTATCTTTGTTATTTTTCACTAACTGCCCACTATTACATATGGGGTAGACTGCGATTGTTGGTATATCTCAATAGTCTATGGACTAAACCTATTCATGCACACGAAGTTTAGTTTGTTACGACCTTGAAATTATCAAATCGTTCTTGCAAATTTTGTGGCGATGTAGGAGAGGTTCAATTCTAACGGATTTAGCCACAATTCCTACAATACTGACTCAGCCAACAACGCGGGGATGATAACTACACCAATTCAACAGTACCACTCAATCATTGGCAGTCAAATGTCTGACACAATGACAGTATTGGTTTAGTCATTCTCTACAGGACACCCGTATTGTTGTGCCAGAGACATGGCCCCGTCAACTTGTCCGTCCCGTGATGCAATCTGACGATGCAACCATACTTGACGAGTCGGCATAAACATCTATCATTTCCAAGCAGAGAATGTATATGTTACCGAAATAAGAGATTATTCATATGTTTTATCATCAATTGAGTTTGCCTGGCTTCAAATTGTTCGCTACCGTACCTGTGAACTGGTAACCGCCCGTGCTCAGAGTCTCCATCGCAACGCCCGTTGGCGAAGCACCCTGCAAAGACCCTTTGTACCAACAACTTTTATAGAGAAATTGCATCACCAGTAGTTGAATTGGGTATGTGGATTGCGTGAAAAGTCGAATCCTGTTTCTTGGCGAAAGGGCTTGCAAGAGGAAGAGATGCACTGCCCCTCCATATAAATCCCTCTTCGATCCCGCCATGTCCTGCTTCTTCTTCTACAGACAACTTGAACAAATAAGGGCTCATTTCTGAGAACACCAAAGGCTTGGCAGGTGAGAATTCCCTTGAGATCTGAGCATCGTGTTCATCATACTCATTCTCTCCCTTCTCCTTCAATCACTGTGAGATAGTCGCACTAATATATTTATAGAACACGTTAACAAACGTAAAGGTACACTAATCATTTACTTCAAAAAACTCTCTTGGGGAAAAACTTTTAGTTTTATCATCTTTTAGTCTTCATCCATGACGTGATTACAAACTGACACGAAGCAGCAGCGACCAAGCATGTTCCGCTTGCTGAGTGCGATCTTTGCATTCTTCATAGCCCTCGCCCAAGCCAAGCATGAAGACCTCCGCCTCTACGCCTTCTCCTCGGCCGACTGCAACGGACCACCCATCTATGGCAATATCGACTTCAAGCGTGACAAGTGCACGTCGATCGGGTTTGGCGCGTCAAGCATCAAGCTCATGGAAAAGAACAAGGGCGACTGGACTAAGGAAATCAATGCCGGACCAACGGGCTGCTACTTCTACACATACACGCAATTCGGTTGCTTGGAACGCTATCTCGACACTCTTGTGGATCCCGGCGATGTCATTTCTTCGTGCATCCCGTCCAGAGACGCCAATGCCCCAATCATGTCCATCTCATACATGTGCATTCGTGGTGCGCCGCCGAAGCGAAGTCTCTCTCTGGGAGCCGGCAATTGGACTCATGGCACGAACGATACTATCCAGTATGCCAATAAGAAGGGGCTGAAATGGCATACCCCAATCTTCGTTAACAAGACGGTGGGATTGAATGAGACGGGTAGGCCTGGTGAAAATTCGACTACCGGGCACCATGCATCTTCAATTATTCTTCCAAAACCTGAATCCAACTCGACTCGAGAGGTCAGACGTGGAAATTTGACCACTCTCCACTACGAACCTCATGTCCCCAACAACCATCCTAACTCTAACTCGACTGGAGAGACTGGCAGCGGAAATTTCACCACTCGCCATCACGGACCGGCATTCATCAACGGGCAGCCCAACTTCAACAGCTCGAAGCCCAAGACCGCCGAGGGCAACTCGACGGTTCGCCACTATGGACCAGCAATTGCAGATGGAAAGCTCAACTTTAGGTCTACACCTGGGTCGAACAAGGAGACCTCGTGGAACGAGACCCAGCCTGCCGGTAAGCAGACAGCTGGGCGAGGTGAAGCAGTCTCAAATAAGACAGTCGTGGCCAAGCCAGGCGCACACAACAGGGTCATAATCGATCCACTTGTGGAAGTCCGAGCAGTGGTTGAGGTAGCCGCCAACAAGACTGTCGTCCGCAATAACACTGAAGTCGACGATTCCGATTCCGATTCAGACAGCGACTCAGACAGCGACTCAGACGACGACTCAGACCTACCAACCGGCAACTCCACTACAATCGACAAGCGCAGTTTATGGTGGCAAGGCCCCCGCCGCGGCGTCTGGATGCTGCACCCCTGGACCGGCAGCATCCTCTGCTACGACTGCTACTCTCACAACGACAAGAACCTCGGAAGATTCGAATGCCGCAACGGCCCAGACAACCCAACCGACTGCGGCGAGCGGCCCCTCGCCCCCGTCTACACCAAAACCGTGTCGGTCCAACCCGTCGTGACCGTCATCCCCGGCGACGCCAGCCCCCTCGCCAAGCGCGCCTGGGAACGCCCCGTCTATCTACATAACCCATGGTACCCGGGCATGACGCTGTGCGCTGTCGCCAAGTGGGACGGGCGCGGCAAGAAGTACAAGCAGGAAGTCCGCATCAACAAGCCCAAGCCCAAGCTCCGCAAGTGCGAGAAGTCGCCGCAGGCACAGAACATTGCCATTTACATTCGTACGGCTACGACCACGGAACCCGTGCGGACGGTCAGTCTCGTGGATGTTAGAGACCTCGACTCCCCGCGTCCCGTGCCTGCCACTGTTTCCTTGGCGAGCACTGCGCTTGCTACTGCCGCTGTTGTAGCGACAAAAGTCCCTGTTGTCGTCATGTCGAGTGTCACGGTTGTGCAGTCTGAATCTGAGTCTACTAAGACGTCGAGTTCGCCGTCGTTGAGCATTATCAAGTTTACGATTCCTACGTCTACGTCGACGGCGATGGCGACCAAGACGCTGCTTGTGTCGCCCAAGCCTGAAGCCACGGCTGCGCCTGCGACTGCGACTGTTGTAGAGCAGAAGTTTAGGACGATAGTGATTTTGCCGGATCAGGATGGGCAGAAGAAATCTTGAGGATCGGAATGGGATTCTCGGAGGAGTTTGGGGGAAAGGGGGAAAAGGAGAGTGGAGTGGTGATGGATTTCCCATGTGAGGTATTTTTTTTATCAGTAATGATAACATTCATATTATATATGTGAAGTAGACTCTCATCTTTTAATTACAGCTTCGGCTGCATATTAGGGTCATTTCTCTCCTCGTGCTCTATTCCTTTCTCGTCTCCTCTCTCGCTCTGCCTTTCTTGCTTGATTAAAACTCGGCACCGCACCTTCCTCGTCAAGCTTTGCTTTCTCCAAACTCTTCTCGTCAATATCATCAAGCAAGAACCGACCCATGTTGCCGCTCCTCCACTTCTGAATCAGCCACAACGACGTCGCTTCTGTATCTATTGTCCCGCCTTTCCCTAGCCTACCCGTCTTCTTGGCAATTTCTGAGAGCAACTCAATGATTTCGTTGGTGGGCGGCGCGTACTCAGAGTAGAGCGTAGGCGACTGGAGATTAAGGTGGTAGAGCAAGTAATCCGCAAGCATGACTGGCGGGATAATAGTATCTTTTACAGAGCCACAGAGCGCCAATTTCATCATTGCTTCTGCATCTGGTACGTACGGGATGAAGACTCCTGGGGTATCGAGAAGATAGACGCCTCCACCTACGCCTTGCAGTTTTCTTCTCGCACCAACATCTGCGGACTCGACGTCGTCCTCACTTGGAATAATCTTGACACCGCTACTGCTAACTTTGCGTGTGACACCGGGCTGCGCACCCGTAGCAGCAACTTTGCCTTTTCCGATTCCCTGGGCGCGCAAAGCGTTTAGAAGCGTCGACTTGCCGACATTGGGCATACCGACAACCATGACTCGATGGCCCACCAACTTCCACCTCTTCTGCGCATGCTCCCTCAGTAGATCCAAAAATTTAGTCACGCTCTTGCGACCGCTGGCTTCGCCCTCTGCATCGTTGCCGTTCCTCACAAACATGGTTGGGGTGGGATGGTGCCATTGCGCAATCACATGTTCATTGCGATTGTCACGGGAGCCGCCGCCTAGATCGCGCTTGGTGTACACGATTACTCGCTCTTTGCCTTCCAGAGCACTTTCGAAGAGCGGATTGCGAGAGGTTAGTGGTACGCGGTAGTCGCGGCACTCAATGACGAGGTCGATGGTGGCGAGTAGAGATTTCATCTTTTGCAGCCCGGATTTATGGTGGCCCAGGAAGTAGGACCGGGGCAGCGAGGGGATTGGCGGGAAGGCATGGCGCGGGATGAAGGACATTTGTTACATTTATGTTGTGGGGAAGGTTCAAACTTTTGGATGTAGTGTTGGAATTCTTTGTGGTTCGAGTCAGGCGACTTACATGGCTTGGCGAGCTTGACTCGGTGGGGTTCTGGGAGTATTCAGTTAGGTTTGATGCCTCGCGTTCTATATGTTAGATAGAAGTTTGACGGTCATAGATTCAGGCTTAGAAGGACAGGAAATGTCTTAGAGTCATTTCGGTAGTTCAAACACATACTCTAATATGTATTGACCTTCACCGCTGTGAGGACTGAGAACAGGATAGCATGATAAAAAACAACTATGTGTAAGATAAAGCTGGGCGGTACTATGATCGAATTCATTACTTATCTTAGACGAAGAGGAGATCAATTGGCAAGCGGTGATAAAACTGGTAATCAAAGTCGACACTCCATTCCAATACAAAGCATTTCACAAGCGCCACGACAGTATCCCTGCTCAGGCGCTCCACATCTACTCCGTCTTCTTCTGTTCCTGTTACTCTTTCACTGACACTGCGTCTCCAGAAGGTCGTTTCATCAAGATCTGATAAATCTGGTTCGTACCCCCCTGAATGTTCTAGGGCCGCCAGTGCAGTGACTATGCGAACTGCATCTCCCGAATTACCGCGCTCGGCGAGGATAGCTGAAGAAGCCATGATGCCCATGTGTTCATCTACAAAGGACGGCTCCCAGCCTTGTTTAACGAGTACCTCTCTGTGCTGGGGCACCGCATCACGTAGTTGCTGAGCTAACCGTTGACGATACTCATGCATTGTTTTCCGCGAAAAAGCGAGTAGGATGTCTCTCATGCCGCGATGAATGGACCAGGAGAGGTAAGCCCAGGGAAGAAAATCTAGGCATTGTGCTAGGATCGCTTGTTCGTTCGGCGCGATGTACATGCGCACAGGATGTACTTCCTGCTTGCTCGACGGCAGATCGAGGATTACTTCCGCTTCGTCTTGTCCAGTACGTGAAATAACAAACACGTCTTGCTCCTTTTTCCGCGGCAGAAGAAAATCTACCTCGTATACTTTTCCGCCATTCATGTTGTAGATATGGCGTGCGCCATGCGACAATGCAAATCCGTTCTCTTGGTATTGAAGGTAGTACTCACCAGCAGGCATTCTGCCTGGGAACGCCACTGCGAATAAGTTTGGGCCTCCACTGGGATGCTGGACCACGCCTGCCATCATCTTGACACATGCGTCAACTCTTGCAGAGAAAACCGGTGCATAGACATCTGTTGCTGGCGAGTGGGAATCATGCGCCCGCAAGCTGACAAGAGCATGCTGCTGTCCCATTTCCCATTGAATGTACCATTGTCCGCACCAGCTTCCTAGTGCAGCTCGATATCCAGAGGAAGAAGAGAACTCGTGAATGACGCGTGCATTGGTCAGGAGAAGGAGGGCTATCAGTGTTGTTCTGCTGATTGGTACTCCAGGAATGCTTGTTCCTCTTTTCCCTTCAATCGACAGCAGTTGTACAGTGTCTGGCACAGATTCCCATGATGCCTTCTCACGCCTGAGTAGCTCATTATACACGTATACTGAGGCGTGAGGTTCGTGGAAAAGGTGCAGTAACCTGCTGTATGAGCTTTCTGTCGCGCCGTAGGCTGGTAGGCGAGAGATGAGTAGCTGATTATGGGAACAAAAGCCCTGGATCATATTGGCAGTCAGGTTCGGACCGTACCGCTCTTTGGTGGTTAGGAGCGATCGAGCTAGGTATGCGGTGGCACATAGACATGCGGCTGAGCCAACGAGGGGCACCCATGTTAAGGAAACTGGTTCGCGACGCTTGTTCATTATGTCTTCCTTAGTAATGATATTATTATCCTCTTATGAATTGTTTTGCGCAAGGATTATATGCCATGAAGTTGATTGCGAAGCATCAAGGTAAGCTATGCGAATGAAGACGTAAGAGAGGGAAGTAGATGGGCGAACCAAAGATAAAGCCTGGTCGGCTATGCAAGGCTTACGTACATACACAGCCCGCCCTCAACGCTTTTTGCAACTGCAAGGCTGCAACTCATCGAGGATTGAGTACCTGGCTGCGCTTACTAAAGCATGTATTTACAGCATCTATTGATCTGTATTTCTACTGCAAATATGAACGGTTTCAAAAGTAGAAAACTAGCTACGTAAGGAGATCCTTGTCGACAAGGATCATGATCTAATAGCTAGCAAAGCCCAATCCAACTTTCGACTTCTATCCCCACTTGGTACCGTTCAATCGCCTCCCCACTCATTATACCATGGATATAAGTCTCGCCCAAAAGTATGTAATGATCCTTGTTCGAGCTTGCTCTGACAATCAACGGTGTGGCGCAGCCTAGCATCACGCATATTTTATCTCCCGTCATCAGCGTACGAGTACCCAGACCAAGATATCCGTTACGAGTTGTAAAGATTCTTCTGTGCATCATAGCTTGTCCAATACTATGCTCAAAGGATGCCCATAAATGGTGATTCGCGATAGGTTCATCATGAACACCCATAGTTTCGGACTCGGATCCGGGAAACTCCAACAAGGCCTTGCCAACAACCTCAGCTAGGAATGTTTTTCCCAATCGAAGATTTCTCATACCATGCCATCGCTTCTCAATGTTCGAAGCGTTAGAACGAGCCTTGGTTGGCATGTAACCTTGCGGCTCGTTTAAGACGGCGAGATCTTCATCGCATTCCCTGCATTTCCTCGCAAAGAGGTAGCCGAACTCCCTAGGGGCCTTTTCGGGGACAAAAGGTGCTTCCTGACGGTATGTATCTGCGACGACCGTACGGTAAAGAGCTTCAAAGAGCTCTTCTCCATCTCCGTAAGCGCAGGTTTCCGACTGTGATTGGCGCCCCTTGCCACATTCGAAGCTCTCACGGCACCATGGATCAAACTGTATACCGTCGATGGTATCAATCATGATACCTTTTGCATAGAGAGCGCTTCCATCTTCCGAGAATCTCACATCAGGCACCATGTTCCCAGACGCTCTATAGACAGGCCAACCGCCATCCCAAGAACACTGCAGAGGATAGGCCGGATTCGAAGTACCCCAGTCTGGCAACCACGATGGCAATTTACTGGTGCGACCATTAAAAGATAACCCAGCATTGCAGATGATCGATAAATCTTTCTCCTTCTCAATATATGCTTCTAGGAACCTCCGACAAATACCATCAAAGGGTGCAGTGTAGGCTGGAGAACAAAGCGTAGTGGCTTTGTCTCCTAATAGGCCATATTTTGCGAACAAGATATCCCGAGAATCGGAGGCAAGGGTTTGCTTAGTTAACCACAATAGAGGAAGTACTTCGAGCTTCTTCCCTGTCTGCATGAAGATGCGCATGCGCGACAGGAACAGAAAAGGATCCAGCATACGCCCTGTCAGTCCGACTCTCTTATTGAGGTCAGTCGGAAATACAAAGGCCCAGTATTTGGTAATCAGTTGTTCGACGTTCGTAAATTCAGATTCTGAGATCGTCTCGTCTCCGCATGCGAATTCCACCTCTTTTGCTAATGCGACTTCCTGGATTACCCACGCTCTTTTCCACCAGGTGCGTTTCAGCAAATGCTTTAATGCCATCCATGAGTCGTAGTATCGCATTTCAGCATAGGCTAGGAATGCCCGCTTCGGGTTTGCCATTGTGTCACAGCGGGCTAAGAGCGCAAGAAATCTCATCGCAAGGTCGCTGTCACTTGTCGCGGGGCCCAACCATACCAAGACACGTGTTGCTTTTCGGTACACATCACCCATCATCTTGACTTGATCCCCTCGCTCTTGTATGTTTCCTTGATCAATGCACAGTGCATCTACCCATATATTGCTGACTTTTCGTTTCCGGAGATAGTGTAACGCGGCAGCCAGATTCCCGGCTACACTCAGCTGCATTCCGTTGATGCAAACAGACTGGTTTTTATGGTAACGGTTCGTCGCGCTGTATGTAATAGGGTCGCCCCAGGTGTATGATAGCGCTACATAGTTGATGTGTATATTGTGTAACGAGGCTCTGACTAAATGACCATCTAGAGGAAGTTGTGCACTAAGTTCAAGGATACGGATTTCCTTTTTGGCATTAGAAAGACCGTTAAAAGGTACAATGTTCATTGTTGCAGTAATATAGGTGCGAAGAGACCTAAAGATAAAGATCCCCTAGTTCTATCATGTATATACTAGCAGCGCGGAGTTCTATTCCGAGCCATATGTATCCAGACACAGCCACTACCATCGCTTGCGTCAATAGATGCTTTCACGTGGTACATCCGCACGCGCATAAGTCAGTGCAAGCTACAGAAATAGTCTAATCAATACTGGAGAGCAAGCCTCAATCCCTCAGAGCAGACGAGGCTGACCAATGGTAAATTTGAGCAGAAATCCTTTCTAGAGAATGACACCGCACAAAGTGCCGTTATGATCTGCATCCTAGCTACATTGAGCTAATCGTACCGCTCAGCTCTCTTGGCGAATTACCTAGCCTTAAATACCAGTAAAATGAGGTGTCTGGTTACCTGTCAGCCTTGTTGGCTGCCTACCTCCCCTAGTGCTGCAATGGAACTCTACCGGCCGCTTTTTCAAGTAAAAGTATGGCACCTGGGCTACGCTATAGTAATTAGAGAGGTGCTTGTTGTAGCGCCGTTCTTCGTTAACATTTAAATACACTATGCCATACGAGAGTATGCCCTACCAAAGTTAAATCCAGTCTGACGTTGCACGAGAAGCCCTGGTAGCCTGGGTTTAGGATTTTGACCCCCACGAGTCTCAATGACAATGGCCAGGCCCCTAATGCAAGCCTTCTCCACATCTGCAGGCTGCGCACGAGCCACTTCCGAAACGCCAAGACACTAACGCGACGCGCGCGAATCTCTCGACTGTGACGTTGGCAGCCAGCCTGGTCGCAACTTTAACATCTCCCTTCACCTATATTTTTTCCAAAAATTTGGGTTCCCATCAGATACTAGTTGTCTATGCGACCACTATCTTACCACATTGATCACTGCTAAACAGACCGACCCGGC